AGTCTGAGGTGAAAACAAATACAACTCAACTTTGAACTCAAAGTAATTGTCCACAAAGTGAAACTGGTCTTTCAGTGAGACATTGAAAACAGACATAAAATACATTAAGACCCATGTCAAAAGTAAATAAATGGTGTAAAAACATCCTATGGTAATTCAAAGGTTTTTATTTCTGTTCTGCATGGATGTTACTTTAACTTTACAAAAAAGATTTTAAAAAGCTGAAGGTCTTTAAAGGATATTGTTGGGTAGACCTGCTAAATGTCACTTTGACATAAATAAAAGAGCTGCAAGCTGTAGGAATCGGATCTTTAAAAAAGAAACATACAACCTGAGCACTGCCAAAGGAGGTAAAAATGTGAGCATAGCATGTATAAAGGTCAGTAAAACTATTTGTTTCAGAATCTTACAGTATCTGTAGAAACACACCATACGTGCGCCACCGTGATCTGACGCCAGACACAAAATTACTGGTACTTTCTTCTATCTGATTTATTTCTTTTTCTTTTTCCACCTCAGCTTTTGTCCAAGGAGTGCGAGGACTGCTAATGTGTGGGTTGACTCTAGCATTCTTTGCCGTGGTACTCTGCTTTCTCGGGATGGAGTGCACGTATATTGGTGGAAGCAACAAAACCAAGGACAAAATGCTTTTTAGTGGAGCGGTGCTTCATTTTGCCGGTGGTGAGTAAAAGGGAATACATGTGGGCTTTTGAAAATTGTAGTGGTTGGAAATGTTTATACCTCATCTTCGTTACCTGCTACAAACAAAACAGGTGTGTCAAGCATTGCCGGCTACTGCTTATACATCAACAGAGTCGCCAGGGTTGCCTTTGCTCCTGTTGTAGAACGAGGAGTTTTACGGTAACACTATTTTTATTATTTTATTATTATTTACCCTTTTACACCAGGTAGATTTAACCATGTAATTTGTTTTTTACTTCTTTTGACCAGGTATGACCTTGGACCGCCGATATTTCTTGGATTGGTCGGATGCTTTTTGATTTATTTGGGTGCTGTGTTCTACGCTGCAACAGTCTGCTGTGTCATCTTTCCTAAAAGGTAACAATTATATCATTCAGCTCATTTTATTTACGAGTTACGAGAATTATATCATTCAGCTCATTTTATTTAGAAACCTATACAATTACGAGTATTTCTATTTTGCAGTGTACTGGTGAACTACTGTGCAGTACTGTGATGACACCAAGCAGAAAAATGATTTCTGTCAGTTTTATTTTCTTGTCATTAACAAAAGGCTCACGTGACACTGTCATCACGTTTGACAAAATAAAAATGTATAAAGAGTTCAACATTTTGTGGACATAGCCAGCTGAACAGAAAGTGAGCAGGGTATCAAACCTTTGGTTGTAACCCTGTACTTAATGGCAGCTTGAGTGGGTTGCAAAGACTTACACTGTAATTCTCCCCATTGGGGGATGAATAAGGAACTCAATTCATTAATGTATTAATTAATCAATCTCTCTAATTGTCATTGTTTGTATCTTACAGTAAAGTGGTATACGCCTACCCAGGAGGCACATACGTGGTGCCACGCTCCAGAGGAAAAACTTACACTGGATACTACAGACCTGACTGGCAGTACAACTCCTATCTGGCCTCTAGACAATCGAGCAGCTCCAAGATTTCGAATCTTTCTCAAACCACACCAACAAAGATGTCTGATAGAGATGCATTTGTGTAGCTTCTCATTTAGCAACAAACACAATTTGAACTCCCTCAGCTAAATGTTAGCACAGCACATCAAAAACACATTTCTTCTGAGGATACCATGTTTTTTTTACAGCAGAAACTATAATACTGTGCATTTGCTTAATCATTCTATTTTGTATAGTAGAAGCACTAGACACTTAGGAGAACAGAAAAACTACAAGTCAATGATAACCACAGGGGGTCGACTCAATAATCTTCTTACAATGAGGCCAGGTCACTAGCCAGTCTGAAGTAGTTTGTATTATTTGTAAAATTGTGATTGTGATCAACTGTGATGAGTCCTGTTTACTGCATGTTCTTGTAGTTGTTTCTGCTGAGAATAAGATTCCAAGGCTTTACTGGAGAATTCTATTGGGTTTGATGCCAACTAAAAATATTGTAGTGCAGTATCAATGTAAATACAATGTAATACTAGAAAACACTATGATTTCATTCAGTTTTGGTGCACTTTCTATTCACAGCACCCTCCCAAAACAGGTGAAAGGTTTAAACTTTCCATGTACACGAAACTGAGCCCATGCTGGCAGACTCCTCAGTATCAAAAGCAAACACATCAACATGGTGACCTTTATAAAAGGCGTCCTGTCCAACAATGTTTAAGGCAAAACATGTGTTTATGTACACACGGATGACTTCCTCCTGACTTTCTTAACGTCAGGACGAGGTTAAAGGACGATAGTGTCGCTGGTGATGTTTGTTTTTCACATAGGACAATGTTATTTTATACATAAATTAACTACATAATAAAGTAAAATATATAATAATCAACTATAATCAAACTGTGCTATAATAAATTGTGCCTGCCTCACATGCAACATGAAGGGTTTTGACAGACTTCCTGTCTATAAATGAGTATTAAGTCAACAGCCAGATTCATAGAAAGTGTTGGAGATCAACAGCTGAACTTGTTTTGCTGCTTGTGATCACAACAAAGACACTTTTTATTTTCAAGCTTTTTATCTGTCTTTATTTTGGTGACTATAAAAAAACAGGAATTCACAAAACTACTTATTCAACTCAATGTACACATTTTAACACATTTTCCTAAATAAATAAAATATACCATAACTGAAATTTTAGTAAAGTCTCCTGTTCAGGTGCCATTACGTACTTTCTAAACTTAAATGTGGATTTATTTAGGATCATTTTAATTGAACTAATTACACATACTCATTGCGGGATGTTGTCCTGGTTGTGCGTGTGACCCCAGACGTGCTGCTGTAGCCTGTCTTGCTGCTGATGCTGCTCAGCCCAGAGATGCTGTTCTGTCTGCTAACACTGGTGATCCTGGATTTTTGACTCTGACTTATCTCCGTTTGGGCCACATATTCAGTCTCCTTTCTGGTTGGGACAACAGTGTAGACGTCAGGGAGCTTTGGTGCAGGGTAACGCTCTGAGCTGGGATTCAAAAAAGATGAAAATGGAAAAACTTTAATAAAAGAACAAAAGTACCAATGGCATCAACAAATAATGTATGGGTCTTTACCTGGACCGGCAGCCTTCTATCCCTGCAACAATACTGTAAATAAGGCCCCCAACAAGTAGTAAGGTGGAGCCTCCCCAGCCAACAAAAACACCAACACCAATTTCAAACCTGGCAGTCAAATAAGGGATCATTAGCATCAATTATCTAGGTCAGTGTTTCCCAAACTTTGACTGCAGTGAACCCCTCTCTGCCTCCCAATCCCCCACATCACCTCATTCACAGCTATTGTGTTAAAACACTACTGAACCTTATTGTTATTGCCACAGGAATACAGAAAATGAAAAATTACAAATCAGTGAATCTTACACACTGTAGCACAAAAAATATTAAAAATTAAATTAATTTGACCTGCTCAAACCCTTACTGTTGCTTTTCCTTTTTACTTACTTCTGCTCTTTGTAGAAAGGATCTTTAAATTCAGAAACAATTTTGTGTCCATAGTAAGAAAAGGCAACCATGGCACACATCCCTGAAACAACAGCAACATTTACTTTTTTCAGTAAATTCTTTAAAACTGTTCATTCAGAAATGACACTGTGACACTGTACTGTACCTCCAATAAAGTAGTTCATCCCTCCAGCGAAGGTTACTCTCGCATTAGCAATCTCTGTTCCCCCGACCTTGGTGCACTTCATTCCCACCAAGACCAGCACAGATCCAAAAAAGGCCAAAATTATAGAGATGATGATAAGAGCTCGGCACATGTGGATATCCCCTGTCCAAAAGCAACAAAGGGGCGGTCAGGTCAATGTGCTCTAACTCAACTTCCCTTGTCATGTCTTACGCAGAAAGAAAAGTATTTTACTTACAGTTCAGGGCGAGCATTGAAGGAATGCCCTTGCAGTCAGATACTCCTGTGGAATCAGAGACACAGTCCTTCCACAGGTTGGAGAAGTAGTTGGAAGTGGTCAGGACTATGCTGCCCACCTCAGACCAAGTCCAAATTTCTGTTGCCTGAGTGGAACAAACCAGAATCCATCCAGCCACACAGACCACTAAGCAGCAAATTTCTGTGTACATCACCACGGTCCTGTACCCCATATTTGCCCCACAGTTATATCTCTAATCAGACGAACGTCTTCAGGTGCAGTCAGTCTCAAAGTCACACCTGGAGTGCTCTGCCGTGGACGCAGGCGCACATAGGGTTTGTGTATGACATCACATGTTTTGCCTTGAACTGTGTGTGATGTTTAGCAAGGGTCAGCTTATTGCTCTCTTTTGTTATTGATGACCTTTGTCCGTTTTGTCATCACACAGATCATAGATGTAAACAGATATTTTGTTTTATGTGTATGTAATATTTCAAGCCTACGTTGTACATTTAAATGTTCAATACAGTATGTAACTTGGATTTTCACGCTATTGACAAGGGAAAGAATGTGGGAGGTTTCTTAACTGGCAGATTGACTGGACAACTATATTTGTGCTTCAAGATATATAAAGTAAATATGACTCTATGACACTTTTGCTGCTTTACCTAGAAATTGCACACATGATTTATAAGAAAACTGTGACATCATGTTGTTTTACTGTTAGCAAGGAAGACAATGATTTTGGGAAATGCTTGAACTGGGTTTAACCTAGTTTTAAATTTTTATTGCAGTTTAACTAAGTTTGCCAGCTTTTTGGTGAATGGACAATAAGAGTATTTATTAAATTGTTTTCAATTTGTATTAAATCGTTCCAACATGTTCCGTCAGCACTGACATATTATGTTGAATTAAAACACTTAAATGTGTCCCTTAGTTTTTGTTTTTTATTTTTCACCTGCTTGGTCGCTTTTGCTGCCGTGGCTCCTCGCTGTTGAACCAAACGGGGTGGGCGGGGCCATGTCGCCAATCAGCCAATCACAGTGCCCCACGATCTGTAGGCTGTGTGTTTCTGCCCTGCTGACTGGGTTAGCACGGAGGAGCAATGCTGAGAGACGCCCATGTGTCTTCAGTGTGTGGACAGTTTAACTTTTAGTCAAAAAACATCGTTATCACCTTTGTGTTGGACGTTGGGATAAACCAACAACAGCGTCTCCAGTAGTTCAACCATGGTTTTAGTTGAACATGTTCTCCACAAGGTTCTGACTTACATCCCATATGTTCTTGTTTTGATGGACATGAGGTTTGAAGGTAAGAATTTCGCCTAACTATTTTTTGTAGTTCAGTTAAAGTCTACAGTAAAGGTAAGCTTTTACTTTGAGTCTGAATTATACCGTTAACGTCCGCACTCGATGTCTGCAGTGTTACTCAGTAAAGTTAACTTCAGCGAAAGCTAATGCTAGGCTAACTGTTCTGATCAGTAGTAATGACATGAGCTGTCAAGTACCGGGTTTTTTAAGGTGGCAGGTTTGATTTAAATCTGCTGTTAACAGCTCGTTCTCCAACGATCCCACACTGTTGGATGTGGAGAATGACACAGTAATTGAAATAACTAGTTTTTCCCCCTCTTGTCTACTACTTTGTTCTAAATTTTGACATTTACTTTTATTAATTACTTTCATTTTTTGAACGTCAACGTGCGTCACGGTGTTCGTTCGTTGTTGTTAATTGCGTGGTTGTTTTTGTCAGACTGGCATCCGTTTGCTATAGCTGTAGAAAGATGTAAATATGAGTTTCATACAGTACATGCACATGCAACATTCCAAATCAATCAAACAATAGATGTCTACAGAGTTGAAACAATAGTAAATTATATTGTTATTTAACAGGAAAGTGAGTCCAAACAGTTAGATACGATTTACAAACAAATAAATGTTTAACTTCACTTCTTGCATTTTGTAATAAATTGCATGTAATAAATCTCTTTTAAAATCCATTTGAATTACTTTTAAATAATGTTGTTTTATTGGAACATTAACTACAGTTAATCTGGGAAGCAAAGTAGGTAAACACATCTACCTGACAAATTGTATTGGACAGCAGTTAGTGAACACTTACTCAGTATTGTGCACATTGCAGGGGTCACATGTGGTCGAGATGGAAGCGTGGACAATCACATGGAGATGGGGAAGAAACTGCTCGCTGCTGGTCAACTGGCAGATGCACTTTCTCATTTCCATGCTGCCGTAGGTAAGTGCTATAAATCTATGCAGGTAGGGTTTTATCAACATCATAAAATGTGCCATGCTGTAACATTCTTGCACTTCTTGTGTTCTCTTTTACTTTTTTGACAGATGGAGATTCCAAAAACTACATGGCCTACTTCAGGAGAGCCACGGTGTTTCTAGCAATGGGGAAGTCAAAGTCTGCACTGCCAGACTTGAGCAGGGTCATCGAGCTCAAACCAGACTTCACATCGGTAAATGCGGAAAAACATATTATTTAAACCACTGTAACCCTCCAGTTTATATGTAGCTTCACCAAGACATTTAATAGCGACAGTGTTTAATCTTGGATGTAGCTGAAACTATGTGGGGAAACAGGTTAAGGATGAATTATTCATTTTGTGTTCTGCCACCTTATCAGGCACGCCTGCAGAGAGGGAACATTCTTCTAAAGCAGGGCCGACTTGACGAAGCAGAGAGTGACTTCAAGAAAGTGGTAGGCACAACATTACCTGTGAAAATCCTTTAATTAGCAGTAACTGTTAGCTGATACAATTGACTGTTCTGTCCCACTGCCACAGTATCTGCCCTGTCTTTACTCTGCTGTTTTTTTCATGCATCAACTCAAAGCACATGTTCACAGACTGATGTGCAGCTCTTTTCCCCCCATGACCTGTTCTTTGACTTCATCAAACCATTCCAAAGCATAATTCAAACTCGGACACTCAATGAATGTTAACAACTTTCATTCAGGGGTCACACACCAAGATCAGGTTTCTGTGACATAAAAAAATGTCAGAAAAATTTGAGGTCCAGATATTCTATCTTCTATTTCAAACCCTGCCTAAAATAAAATGTGTATTTTTCACCAATGGAGTCCTTTTAACACTATTATTAATATTTATTGCAACATTATGTCTTGGTTTTAACCAGATGAAGTCCAACCCCAGCGAAAAGGAACAGAAAGAAGCTCAGAGTCAGCTGACCAAGTCAGATGAAATTCAGCGTCTGGTGGCTCAGGCTCACAGCAGCTTCAGCAGCCAGGATTATGTGACAGCCGCTGCCCATCTCGACACCATCATTGATGTAAGACCACCTGCTTTGTCAGCTGTTCTTCTTCTGTGTGCAAGTCTGGTTAAGGTCAAAGTTTATTTTGTCCGATGCTGACAGACTTGCATTTGGGACGTGGCTTCACGGGAGATGCGAGCAGAGTGTTTCATCCAAACAGGGGAGATGGGAAAGGCCATCAGCGACCTCAAAGCTACGTCCAAGTTAAAGAGTGACAACACCAAGGCTTTCTACAAACTCAGCACCATCTACTACCATCTTGGAGACCACGAGATGTCCCTCAAGTAAGAGCAACTTAATGTGTTGTTATAAAATATAAGTTTTTTTCCCCCTGTCTGTCCAATTCTGGCCCTCTGACAAATATAGTTGGTGACTCCTGTTCTACACTGTTTGAAATAATATAATCTCACTTAATCATCAGTAATTGTACTGGAATCAATCAGTCAAACAAACACCAAGAACCAGATGCTTAAAGCCAGTTTACATAGATTTGATACGAACAGAAACTGAAGGAGAAAGATAAGCAACATCAACACAAACCTGTGTAACATACGAGAACCATTGCCTTTTTACAAATGATTCCAACTGTCAAATCAAATGTAATGCAAAAGCTGAACAGTCACGGCTTCAAGGTGTTGGTGCTGTGGGACAGCTGTACAGCGGGGCTGTTGTAACCATCTCTCTCTCCCCCTTATGATCTGCAGTGAAGTGCGCGAGTGCCTAAAACTGGATCCTGATCACAAGCAGTGTTACAATCATTACAAGCTGGTCAAGAAGCTCAACAAGCAGATCCAGTCAGCAGAGCTTCTCATCCAGGAGCAAAGGTGTGTGCGTGTGTGTGTGTGTGTGTACTGTATATCTGTCAGTATCCAGGCAGTAGTGTGTCTTAGCATACATACAATAATCTCACCTCTGAATACTGAAGACAGCAGTGACTGTAGGAGGACTAGACCTCAGTCATGTCGACAGATCAGATATGATTTGAATATTCACCTTTTCAGTTCCTCAACAATGAGATTGCAGATATCAGCAAAAGCCACTGGGGGAAAAAAAAACCAACCTCTTAATAAAAGATGTGACAGATGTCTCCTGACCCAACCTCAAGTCAATTGACATGACATACAGTGACATAATTTAGTTTATACTACAAACAATTTAAAAACCAAATCCATAATTTTAATTTTAAAAACACCCTAAATGTCAGTAATGGGCTCAGCTGAACCAATCAGGTGGTGAGAAGTCAAGAACAATAACATTTGACTTGCGCCCCCTTGTGCCCCCGTGGCTTCACGGGAGATGCGAGCAGAGTGTTTCATCCAAACAGGGGAGATGGGAAAGGCCATCAGCGACCTCAAAGCTACGTCCAAGTTAAAGAGTGACAACACCAAGGCTTTCTACAAACTCAGCACCATCTACTACCATCTTGGAGACCACGAGATGTCCCTCAAGTAAGAGCAACTTAATGTGTTGTTATAAAATATAAGTTTTTTTCCCCCTGTCTGTCCAATTCTGGCCCTCTGACAAATATAGTTGGTGACTCCTGTTCTACACTGTTTGAAATAATATAATCTCACTTAATCATCAGTAATTGTACTGGAATCAATCAGTCAAACAAACACCAAGAACCAGATGCTTAAAGCCAGTTTACATAGATTTGATACGAACAGAAACTGAAGGAGAAAGATAAGCAACATCAACACAAACCTGTGTAACATACGAGAACCATTGCCTTTTTACAAATGATTCCAACTGTCAAATCAAATGTAATGCAAAAGCTGAACAGTCACGGCTTCAAGGTGTTGGTGCTGTGGGACAGCTGTACAGCGGGGCTGTTGTAACCATCTCTCTCTCCCCCTTATGATCTGCAGTGAAGTGCGCGAGTGCCTAAAACTGGATCCTGATCACAAGCAGTGTTACAATCATTACAAGCTGGTCAAGAAGCTCAACAAGCAGATCCAGTCAGCAGAGGCACTCATCCAGGAGCAAAGGTGTGTGTGTGTGTGTGTGTGTACTGTATATCTGTCAGTATCCAGGCAGTAGTGTGTCTTAGCATACATACAATAATCTCACCTCTGAATACTGAAGACAGCAGTGACTGTAGGAGGACTAGACCTCAGTCATGTCGACAGATCAGATATGATTTGAATATTCACCTTTTCAGTTCCTCAACAATGAGATTGCAGATATCAGCAAAAGCCACTGGGGGAAAAAAAACCAACCTCTTAATAAAAGATGTGACAGATGTCTCCTGACCCAACCTCAAGTCAATTGACATGACATACAGTGACATAATTTAGTTTATACTACAAACAATTTAAAAACCAAATCCATAATTTTAATTTTAAAAACACCCTAAATGTCAGTAATGGGCTCAGCTGAACCAATCAGGTGGTGAGAAGTCAAGAACAATAACATTTGACTTGCACCCCCTTGTGCCCCACATAAGATATGTGAAGTTTTTTTTTTTCTGGACTATCCATTTCTTCCAAGGGAAATTTGTGTTTGTTATAATATCAAGAGGGGTACTCTGCTCCATTTGTATTTAAAATGCCTTAAAATAATTTGGTTCTTAAAGAGTGGATTTATCTACTACTATTATACTACTCATTTTATACTGTAGTACTCCCACCCTACTGGTCCACTTGGAGCAATACCAGTTTTACAATAGCATTAATGTTAATTTGATGTTTTGAAATCTTTCTTTAAAAAAAATCAAATTTCTTCCTGCCCTTGAAGGTATGAAGATGCTGTAAACAAATATGAGGACGTGATGAAGACGGAGCCCAACGTGCAGCACTTCTCTGCGCTCGCCAAAGAGCGCATCTGCCATGCACTGACACAGGTGGGATTTCCTTCTTTTGATGATGTAATGCACTGAACCTGACCACTGATTTTTTTTTCTTACTCCGTCCCCAGAGTCAGCAAGGGAGCAGAGCCATCTCAGTGTGTAGTGAAGTCCTCACATCAGACCCAGAGAATGTAAACGCGCTGAAGGACAGAGCGGCGGCTTACATCCTGGAGGAACAGTACGAGGATGGTAAGCCTGGCGTATGAAGTTTAAATCTATTTAGATTTATCTAGTTGCAGCAATCTAATAAGTGTTCACATCCAGAGGAAGGGTGGTGCTATTGGTAAATCCCATACAACCCTTTGACCTTCCTACTTACTGTAGACCTACCACACTGTAGAACCTGTTATGATAAAGGAGTGGAGGAAAACCATCAACTCAAGCTTTGTGTTCTGTATTTGTGAGTACTCCTGTAACACCCTGAATGGAATTATTGACTGCAATTACAAGATCCAACAACAGACAACAGTGGGCGAGAACGTTTACACTCAGGAAGCAGGGTAGGTTTTTGCATTTGACCGTGTGACACCACAGTCCTTCCAGGGTCTGGTCTGGACTGGAAGCACAGTCACTGGCCATGGGCTGCATTATAATTTTAGATTTGATTAGGCAGCTGTACTTGCAACATTTAGTTGTCACCAAAGACTTTACTGTACAGTAAGTGCTAATAATAATAACCTGAGATTTATTCAAGGACAGCTGGAGCCAAGTCGTGTAATGGAATGAGTTGAACACAAGGGGTCCCTGTAACCTTGCGTAGAAGAAGCATTGAAATGAATTAAAAATATCCCAGGTTCACACTAGCGTCACATCATCTGAACTTTGGTATCATTTGTCACAGCATATGTGAAATAAGTTCAAATTAATTAATTACAATGTTAATTAAGTTAAACTGAACACATTTTGGCGTGCAGCGCATTAAACAGAGTCAACGTCCTGAAGGTTTTCACTGTTAGACGTAAATACAGTCTATAGGATGCAAAGCTGTGCTGTAAGAATCAATGACGTGATGCTGACTTTGCAGCACTTCCTACCATAGAGCCCACAGTGTTACAGGCCTGATTGTAGGGACACAGTTTCCTCTTTCTGAGCACTCACGCCACAGATACATGTAGAAGATGGTAAAAATACTCAGAATTCCATTCGCCTCTTTCATGATACTTGTCAAAAGCCTGGATCACAAGCACAAAAATGTATGCTAACGTTAACAAATATCTGCTGAAAAAACAAACAAAAACTGCTTCTAAACAGCCTAAAAAAAGTACAAATATACAAAAAATACTTTTAAAAAACAAAAACTAAAAAACGACAGTATGTCACCTGCTTCACTGCACACAACAAATCATTAACACATTCTTAATTAAGTGCATTAAGAGTGGCACAAATCACAAGCTAAGTTTTTTTTTGTTTAGTGTTTTCCACACAACGTTGATGTGACAATTCTGAGCCAACACCTCACAGAAGTGTTTACTGTAAACTGTCAGAACACACAAAGAAAAAAATGCATAAATTAAATAAATATTTCAATCTAAGTTCAGATCAGTTTTCACTTGATAAAATAAGCTTTTTTTAAGTAAAATACTTACACTTACAACACCAAGTGAATTTTAAATAAAATATTCCCTGTAGAAATTGTGCTGTCAAGTTATTGTGTTTTTTTTTTGTCTGGTCATCTGAGCTGAGCTGCAGACACTCTGGCAGGCTCCGGTGCCGACGTCATCACATTCTCTACAGCCTGTTACTATAATTTACTTCCCATTGGTTGTCACGCATGAATGAGCAATTATCATTCATTTATTTCTGCACTGTAATTATTATTTTTTTTTCCCCACAGCCATCAAAGACTACGAGACGGCTGCTAAACACAGTGAGAATGACCGTGGAATTAAAGAAGGCCTGGAGAAAGCACAGCGACTCCTCAAACAGTCTCAGAGGAGGGATTATTACAAGATTCTCGGAGTGAAAAGGTGGGCATTGATCAGAGGATTGTGGAAAGTTCAATGCTTCTTGAATGACTGCACCAGGAAGCAGCCCTTATTTATGGTCTGATACTGTAGGGTGTATTTTTTTTTTTAAGTCGGCACTGAACAACCACTGCACCACATGGAATTTGAGCCTCACTGCACTTGAATATTATAGTTTATCACATTTGAGCATTTCTCCTCTTCTAACGGGCTGACGATAATTTAAGATGGAAATAAAAGTCAAGGCAATAGAAACGCCCCGAGCCGTAAAAAGTAATGGTTTATTTTATTGGAGCCAGTGTGCTAACCGTGACATGAGTGTTATTAGGGGGCTAGCTTATGTGGGGAGAGAGAGCGAGGGAAAGATAATGTGTTCATGTGGTGCTGATAAGTCTGTAACCCCGCTGCACCCTCCATCACAGGAACGCACAGAAGAAGGAGATCATTAAAGCCTACAGAAAACTGGCCCAACAGTGGCACCCGGACAACTTCCAGGACCCCGAGGAGAAGAAGAGGGCAGAGAAGAAGTTCATCAACATCGCTCAGGCTAAAGAGGTTCTCACTGACCCAGGTAAGAATTGACTCCTGTAGAGTCCAGAGTGCAGTTGCTGCTGTGAGTCCCAGTAAAGGTCATGCTCTCTGGGGACCTGGTGTCAACAACAGACCACCAGCCGCCAGAGAGTTTTTTTAAAAGACCTGATTAATATTAATTAATTAATAAAGTAAGTATGCGTTTGGAGCCAAAGCATCAGTAGACCATTGTTTTAATCACCAGAATTATTGATGTACTTGTATGTCATGTCTCCAACACCTTACAACCTTCAAGCTGAAGTTAATTCTTTTATATAAATAATTACAACATCAGCTCATGCAATAACAAGTAAGAAGAAATAAAAGTCATTTTTCAGCCTTATTTTAAAACATCAATCTTTGTTTTCTTGTAGAGAAGAGAACCAAGTTCGACAACGGTGAAGATCCCATGGACCCAGAGAGCCAGCAAGGTCACCACCATAGACATGGAGGTTTCCATGGATTCCAGGGTTTCAATCCCTTTGGTTCTGGACCCTTCAGCTTTAAATTCAACTTCAACTAAATGGAAGTTCATGTCCAGCTGTCTTTCCGCTGCTGCAGGGATTCTAGTGTTTTTGGAGACCACTGACCGGAGACACGGCAGTGTAACGCACTAAAATGTGGAGCAAATTGTCACTTTAATTCAGTGACGCTTAAAGACATTTCTTGAATGTTTAAAAATGTTAATAATGATACATGCCTTTAAATCTAAGTGGTGAAGGACTTGCTTTTTGGACAATAAGTGCCTTTTGGGATACAGACTATTGTGTTCTACACTTTACCACTTGCATCCATTCAGATTGTTTGTACATAGGTGCAGTGCTATTTTTATATGAATGGAGACTTTCTAATGTGTAAATAAAGAACTATTTATGTACACTGAACTGAGTCACAGTGATGCTGATTGGACACTTTGGACAGCAGTTTGACAGCAGACAGAGATTTTTGGCCCGTCCACAGGTAAACCTAATCTGTCCCCCATAAAACAGCCTTTTCACTGGAAGTCGTCTCCATGACAAACGCACTCCAGAACCCCATCTGTGGTCATAAAAGTGAGTCAACCGTTATGTACCAAAGATTTATTTTTACGCCACATATTAATATAAACAACTCTGTTCGACACAGCACAGTGAAAGATGGCTGCTATTGCAGCACACTTCCTGCGTCTCATTTTTATTTATTAGGTCCAAAAAAAAATAACTGCCTCTGGCTTCATGGAGCAGCAGCACCCGTTTTATTCCTGAGACAAAATGCTGGAACATGGGGGGAATTTAAATATCAGAGATGTTTCTGTAAATGTAACAGATTAAATGTGAAGGAACGCAAGATAAAAACAGTAAAATAAATAAAAACAAACAAAACTAACATACCTTCTAAATGAGGTTTCTGAGCTTAGTTACTTCAGAAATAATTTGTTTTGGTAACTGGTGAAACTGTAGCCAAGCAGTGAGGTAACTGTTAGCTTAGCCACACATTTTAAAGTAGTGTATTCATGAGGAGAGGCCCTTTCAAGACAAAGTCCATAGTACAAAAACTGTGGTCTCAGTCCAGACAAAAGTCTGGTCTAATGTTTCTCATGTTCAAATCTAAGGTAATCACTAAAAAAAAGGACTGAAATATAACCTATGATCAAGAGTTTCAAGACGCAGTCCTAGTAGTAAAAGTCAAAGACTCGTCCTCACATTTTTCACATCCTAGTCCAAATTGCTGAAGAAGTAGTAGCAAAGACGACCGGTCAAAAGTCTAAATCAGAAAAAAAATGTAGTCTGAGTCAAGGCCACATCTAGTCTAATGTTTAATGATCGTCAGAAAAGATGTACTACAACACAAATGAATGGTCAAGAGTATTAACACAGAGTCCACAGTGAGTTACAAGAAGAGTAATCAAGACCAGGTCTTGTCTTCCTGTTCAAGTCTGAGTCCAAGTCAGTGAGGACGGACTGCAAAACTCATGATTGGTCAGGAGTTTTAACACAGTCTATATCACAAAAAGAGTACTCTGAGAGTACTCCAGGTCTAGTACTCACGTTTATCCAGCCTGAGCTCAAGAGAAAGTTCTACCAGCGATGGCTAGTTGATCCTGTCAGACACTGTTTTGACTATTGCTGTTCAGGTTTTCAGACCCGTTTAGTGGATTTGCTTCTGATGAATTTTGCGTAAGGATGTGAAATTCATAAAACTTCAAAAACAAGTGTTGGTTTGAGTATTTCAGCAACTTAAAAAAATAAACAGGTACAGTTTGAAGAGGTGTGGCCTCTCTGTTAAAATTCTTGTTCTATTTTTACCAGTGCAACATTTGCCAAATGTGTTTCCAAGTGCACAACCTGAATGGAATGGACTGTCAGAACCCGGTCCCTCCACTTCACCTGGAGCTGACTGATGTGCTGATCGTGCAGCAGGAGTTCACAGCTGGACCTTTAATAACACTAACATCACAGGTTGACTTTGTAAGACCAGTGCAGAAGCAGCTGTGACTCTCAGGTAACCTCTGCCATGTCACCACTCAGCGCCTGTGATTGGCTGGATCTGTCCGTCTTCAAGCTTCACAGGGTCCTTGGTGCTGCAGAGCGCAGGCCAACACTAAAGTTCATCTGAGCACAAGAGGGAAACGGAACAAATGGTGAATGTAAGAAATACTGGTAATTTAAGATGTCTGGGGAGACCTGCTCTGCATGGACAAGTTCCAAACAAAAAGGCCACACCTGTGCTTAAAGGCTGTCTTGAAACTACAAAAAAAAAAAAAAAGACTGCAAAAAACTTTCGTTTCGATAGTAAAAGTGACAGAACTCCTACTTCACAGCATTTTTCCACACTTGTACTAAACTTTGTATTATACCGCTCCTTCTTGTCGTTATTTACCTGGTATGCGTTTGGAGGAAGGAGGTTTTTGTTTCTGTCCCACTGCTTCTCCCTCTTCCTGTATCCGCCTCAGCAGCTGCTTTATCTCGCTGTCATACTCGACCCATTCAGGCACAATCCTGGCTGCTGCCGACAGCTTCGGCTCCTTGGTTTTCGGATTATTACACTGCGGCAGAGAGAGAGAGAGAGAGAGAGAGGGAGAGGGAGAGAGAGAAAGAAAAACAAATCTGAAAACATTACTCCCGCCACCAGAGCCACTTTCCACCGGCAGGTCCGACCTCCATTGGCAGCGTAGTCTGTGGCAGACATTTAAAGCCTAATTTGATTTCCAATTCTGTTAAAAGGATGTTAGAACATGTCTACTGTCTGAATTACCGAGTGGTGTCCTACACCGCAATGAGACGAGGCTTCCCATTTCAGTCTGCCCCAGCCCTCCCTCAGTGATTCTCTAAATTAGTTTAGGAGACTACATGGTTGCTCCTCACTTGTCTGCTAAATGCAAGGAGCCTCATGGACATCAGTGTCTCAGACAAAAGGGAAAGTACAGCCAGTATGATACCTATTATCAGTGAATGTGACACAGTAACGTCACTATGTAAAACTTGTTCTCATTAATTATTTCCTCCATGCGTTCCACACATCTCTAACTGCTCGGCTTCACTCACCAGATCTATGGTTTTTGCTGTGGCTTTGGAGACGTCATCACACCACGTCTCGCACCACAGCCACTCCTGAGGCAAGGACCTGATCGCCACCTGGTGGATCATGTTGTTAGGAAGGTCCTGGGAAGAATTGACATTAGAGCATTATTATAAACATGTATAAATACAAGAGTACTGAAGCTCACTGTAGTTAAAGCCTAGGAACCGTCATTGTTCCCTGTGGACATTGTTCACACATTGGGTTGCATCACTCTCCCTTCTTTGTCCAACCAGAGGATACATTTCTATAGCCAAAAAGATTGAGTTTTGTCTCATTTTTCAAAATATCAGGCTTTCAGACTGGTTTTAGTCACTCACTGGTATTTTATCAGCTAATTTAAAACAAGTATTTTACTAGTTTTCTCTCTTTTTTATTTTTTTTGTCTATTTCGTTTTATAGGAGGAGGTTCTTTGAAAAATGTCTCGATTTGACCTCATTGTAGTTCTAACGTTTGGAACGACTTTTGCAACTTTTTATATTCTTTCTTGTCGTAAAGTTAAAATGACTTATGGATTGTATTGATAAAAATAAAAACTGATTTCAGGTGACAAATACATATTTACATTGAGTCTTTAAGGCCTTTGTCCTTTCATCAGGGGACACCACAGCGATGTTTGCCTGGTGAGTTTTTACACTGTATCCACGTTTGACTTAACCATTGGAATACATTACGTTATTCCAGGGCCCATTTCTGGTCTGTGCCCCACCTTTTGAGAATCCATGTTTCAAGAATTAAATGCATCACATGTTGTTGTGTCAGTCATATGTGCTGTACCTGATCCAGGTTGGACAGACTGTTGGGGTCCTGGCTCAGTGCTTGGTACTGTCCTCTCAGTCTGTCTCCTGCTGCAATCTTTCGAAACTTCTTCAAATCCACCACGTAGAGAGCACTGGAGCCAAGAAGAGACACCGTGGGAGAAAATAAAATAATAATAAAAAAACTCTTGACAGGAAAAACTCTGTAATGATTACATGATAAAAAAGTGACTCAACGAAATAACCCATCTGCACTTTCTGCATATTCAGGAAACACGAGGTGTAAACTAATAACCCCAATAATGTATATTTTCTTTTTATTGCTTTTTAACCCTACAGTATATCTGCCAGTGAAATACTCACCAGCGTTCTATATCTGCCAGTGAAATACTCACCAGCGTATGTTCTCCCTGAGCTCGCTGATCATCTGGATTGTCTCTCTCCCCCTCTCTCTCTTCCTTCCTGATGTTACGACACACTGACATCTCTCCAAATCACTTTGGTTCTGACTTTTTTTTCATCCTCACTTCTTACCATCGTCAGCCAGAGGAGAATTTTTTTTTCCTGACAGTTCTGTATTCAGCTTCTGGCTGCCACCTACTTAACCATCACTCTGACAGAAGCAGAGCTGCTTATGTTCAACAAGAGGACCAAACTACTCATTTGGATCCTTGCACCAGAACTATTTTATTTTTAATTTGACTGGGTATCTTGAGGGAAAATAATAAGATATTTAATATTGATTTGGCGGTGGTTGGATTGACCTGTTTTGGGGTCAACTGTCTTAGGAAAACTGTACAAAAACACCCAGCTGTCTTTGAATTATAACAGGTTCTGGAGGTTAAAATTAATTAAGTGATTAGAACAAAATAATTTCTAGTTACATTATTTTTAAATGTATTATTTAAAAAAGAAAGAGTGCTTTTATCTATTTAACAGCTGTGGCACAAGTCTCTTTTGTTGGAGTCAAATAGACTTTTTCCATCATTTCTGCTTTGCAAACTTTTGAGACAAAAAATGGTTGACAAAAAAAAGTCAAATGCCCGTAAATGTAAAGTTTTCTGTTCACTAAGATTTGAACAAGTATTTATTATATAGTATTTTATTATATAGTTGTCTTCTGAATGGTACTTGACTATTTTATTATATAGTTGTCTTCTGAATTGTACTTGACATCTATCTCATGATTCCAGTGGACTCACCACCCGCAGGAAGGTTTGGTACGGTGCAATGTGATTTGGGTGGCGACTGCTGCCCCCGCGACCCGGTAACGGATAAGCGGATGAAAATGGATGGATGGATGGATCTATCTCATGAAGTATGAGAAATGAGTTAAAAACAGTTCCTTATTCATTCCTTGCAACCCATAATGTGGTTTTTCTGGGGCACGAACACAGTAATTAAGGATGTGTTAACCATTAGACTATGGAACCATGAGAGTTCATTAGACAAATTCATTGTACTTTGTTGGTGGTGTACTGTGAGATTTCTTCCCAATGTTGAATAAGGGATGTAGCTCAAACAAAGCTGAGAAACACATGCATTGGTCATTGGTTTTACTTGTACCTGATGTGGTATTTTCTGTGAGCCAAATGCGAGGCCCAATATCCCGTTTTCCAGAAGCGGTAGCCCTCCATCTCTTTGCGGCTGTCACAAAACGGTGTGTAGCCGTATGGCGCCCCCTCCAGATCTAAATCCCTTAGCTCTTTCAGATCAGCTCGGACAATCTGAGAGTAAGCAAACTCAACAGTTGACGTGGACCGGATCTTGTGTTGTCACAGCAGTGCTAAAAATCTGATCCAAGTGACTCTGTGGCTTTCAGATGGCACAGACATCCTCTCAACAGGAACTTGATCCTCACCTGGTCAGCGTCCACGAAGATAATCTTCTCCACAGCCAAGGGGAAGAGAACATCCAAGAATAGGATCTTGTATCCCCAGATAATACGCTGCTTCTCCGTCTGCTGGTGGAGCCAGCGGGGCCACTTGTACTGCACTAATTCATACTGGAAGCCGTACGACTCGGCCATGTGAGGGATGGTCTCCTAAAAGCACCAAAAGCAAAACACCAAAGGTCAAAGAGATAAAGCACAGGAGTGTGTTTGTGAACATTCATCAAAGTGGCTGGATCAGGTAGAGGGCGACCTGCAAAACTTCAGCCTCGCAGCAGAGGGGGAAAATGGAAACAAATAACTTTTTTTTGTCATTTCTAGTACAGCTTATCTCATTACAGAGACAGAGGTGAAACAAAAGGTGAACGTTAGCTGGAATGGCTAATACAAGCTAGTTAAAGATTCAGTGGCGTTACTCGGAAATATATATTAGTCAACAACATGTGATGTTATTTTAAAAAGAGACTTACTTCTACAGTTCACCACTAAATGTCTTAAAGCAGTGTTATTGACTAATTTGCGATGGAGACTAAGTTAGAATTTTAGCAAAAGGCTAAGACTGAGACTGGCTGTCAAAACTTACAATGGTCTCAACTCCAAACTGAGAGACCGGGAATCGAACCGACAAAGAGTTGATCTCAAGCATGAAAACTTTTCCACTGTGTGGCCCAAGCAGAACAACATAAAGCAGTGATTATCAAATGGCAGCCAAATGGCCAAATGGATTTCAAAATAAACATCAAATAATAATGTAATTCTTATTTCATTTCACTTAAGGGTCCTGAAAAATTCTGTCTCTCTGACAAATATAGTTGGTGACCCCTGCAGAACATGATGTAACTGAAAAACTAGCATATGACCAGCAGGGAGAAACAACCTGAACAAGATGTTCTTCATTTGAAGAAACCCTAAAAAAAGTTGGATCACACTGTTGTAAACATGAGGCTGAAGTACCTTGAAAGACGGAGAGAGGTAATTCTTAAGGAACCAGAATTTGACAGGTGTTTTGGTGTGCCGAAGGACAGACAGCATCATTATTCTGAAATACAGAAGTGGGATAAAAACTCAAGACACCAGTTTTTAGGAATTAACGAATTGAGCGTGTTCGGTTACTAACAGGGTCTCACCTCAGAAAGCGCTCGTACAGATGACCTGAGGCCACGGAGAAGATGTTCAAAACGTCTTCTTTCTTCTCGCCATCATCTTTCTTGGAGACTCCGCCTGCGATGCTGTTAAAATGACAGCATGATATGTGAGGTGCTTATGTTGTGACTGATGCCCTTCTCCTCACACAACGACAGTAAATCACAACTGAGCCTGAAGCCTCCGTGCTTGTTGTAAAGCCAGGGGTATTAATAGTTATGCCTCCCTGCAGAAAACACTTTCAAACAAACCATGCATCACTTCTCTATAGAGCTGGAATAATCGACACACGAGAGCCGACGCAGGGACGGCAGCTTCAGCACGAAAACAACTTTCTAGTTTGACGAAATGTTAAAGAATTAGTATTTATTAATCAGATACTTTATTATATTTCTACATACACCTAACACTGTTTTATGTTCCTAAATGCAAAAAAGATTGAAATACATATTAAAATATGTTGTGGTTTCTTCCAATGTTTTTTTTAAAGAATTAATGTAATGGTAGCATCGTTTCAGCTTAATTTATAGTTGGTATGCTATAGTAACTGTGCAAATATTTTCAAAGTATGGCTCTGGGGCCAATCAGGGCCCTTCGACAGAAGTCAACAGACAACCTTTTTTCCTAAAATGTACACATTAACATTTTTTATTCTTTATCACTTTTCTCCAATGCAAATACCCTAATATTGTACATACAATATCAATGTTTCTCAAATGGGGAGTCATGGCCCAATGGGTGGACCAAGCAGCTAAACACCATGGTCTTGGGCAGGTGGATAATTGTGTGAAGCGTGACTAGGTGTCGCACTGTGGGTTAGACTGCAAGTTAGACTTTTTTTAAAGTTGTCCTAAAATGTTGTTTTTCAATTCTGTTTTCAAACTTTATATGGGCACTTGTTGTTTGTGTTGTTACTTACAGTCTAACTACATGCTTTTGTTAACCCAGGCTCACCAAACACTGTATCAACCCCCCACTTGTCCACACAGCAGGTCCATGATCCAAAACACTGTGCAGGTTTATTCGTGAAATTCTCAACGACCCGGTGAACCCCGGCCAATTCAGAAAGAAGGTTCTATATTTTTGTGCCAAATTAATTTTTCCAGCCATTTACAGGTGCAAATATTATGTAAATCCACCTGATGTTATAATAAAAAACAAGAGCTGCTTAACAGGAGTCTTGCCATTCAATAGATTAGTTCCTGCTACAACCAAACCATGATTCCTGAAAAGTCAAGATAATGACTGCTGAAGTAATCAGCATTTACCAAACAATTAACACATCTACTAATACAGCTTTGCAGAGTGCAGTAAATGGCTACTATCTACTGACTACCAGGGAATGTCATAAATTACCTAAAGGATTTATGATTTAAAGAAACAACTCATGGCCATATAACAGGATCCATAATTAAAACAACCATTTGAGAAACACTCAAGTAGACAAAATGGTGATGTTTTCAAAGTTTAAATTCTTATTAGCACAGAGACAACTAACAAAACATGCTCATGGCACATCTAACAGTCACAAGCTTTTGTTAACAGATGGGCTTTGCTGAGGCGTTGCAGATGTCTGCTGCAGAGCTGCTCAACCGACAGGTGTAGGGTGAGGAAATAGAACCATGTCCACAATGCGACAGAACAGACGAATGATGCAACAGAAAGACTGGGTGTGTGCTAGACCACAGACCAATCAAAAAAGTTACAGTAGAACAACCATCAAGTCATTCCTTAACTGAAATATACCACTGTATCGTGACAACTATTCTAAAAAAATCAAAAGGACACTTTCTCCGTTCATGACTCAAGGCCACGTGAGTGGACAGAAACAGGGACAGGAGCTGCAGGACGGATGTGTCTGCGGTCAAATTTTGTGTCATTGTACGACACAGACTGCTGATGAGAAAAGAGTCTCCCTCTCACGTTCAATCAGAGACACTGCTGGGGCCCCAGGGCTCCGGGAGGACGCACCAATGTGAAAGAGGGAGACGTGAAAGGAGGTGAGGAAGTACAACGTTTGTCCTTTGTCCTCTTGAACAAACTCTAAGTCACATACAGAAGTCTGACTAGAACGTGAGAACTAGTATGTGAGTTAGAGTTAGAGACAGTAAATGACACAGTGTTTCCATGGTAACAAATCTTTAACTTAAATAAATTACATTTGATCCTGACAGCAGACAATGTGAGCTGTTACCAAGCTATTTACTTAGTCAGGCTAATAATCATAGCTTGACCTTCACCCACCTGTTCTAGCTTAAAGGTGAGAGGAGAGTCCAATAACAGAGCTTGGAAATTTAATTGTATTTATTAATCTGTTCTGAGGCAACATTAGCAACACCACTGCAAAATAGCTAATTGTAGCTCATCTTAACTGATTAGCTGGATACTGTGTGCTGCTGGTACAGTAGAAGCTGATACTGTATTTTTACCTCAAACACAGAGTAAGAATATAAAGGTCAGCTGAGAGACTGTTGGACAAACGGAGCCAAGATAACCTGGACTTATGAAGGATTTGATCTGTAGTGATGTGCATTTTTACAAGAATTGAAGTTATCTGCGTAGACATGGCACAGGTCAAAAGGGTAGTGGTACAGCTGAGAAGAAAATATTCAGTATTCAACGATTACCAAGGCTGAAATCTTTAGATGTCTGATTTCAATATATTGATTCTATATTCTCATATATATTCTAACACACCATGGGCAAGTTAACCTAAAGAAATCAATGCTCTTTTTCTTTGGCCTGTTTCTCTGTGTGGACAGTGTTCTTTGGTTGTACACACCTGTGTCCCTTCTGCAAGAGAAGTAGACTTAATTTTGGTCTGCACCCTCACTTTTGACTTTAAATTTCAGATTGGACAGGATTATTCAGTCTTTTTTAATAGTATTTTTTATTCTACATTTAACTGTTAGGTTGGAGTTTTAACTTTTTTTTTTTACTATTCTGCTGTCTGTTGAGCTCCGTCTCTTCATTAGTCAGAAATCAAACGTTTTTGTTTATATTTTTCCTATGGTGCTTTAAATCATTAAACTTCCAAATATCTGAAAGATATAACTCTGTTTTAATTGAAATGCGTTGAGTTTTCCAGTGTTAAGAACATCACAGATTTGTGCTGTGGTGTAATAAATCAAAATATGCAGCTTTGACCTTAGGTTTCCTTAGTTACATGAATTGATTTTGCATGTTTGATCAACCTACAATTATACTTTTTTAAAATGGCACTCTCTTCTATTCAGAAGAGTTGTTAAAATGTCATATTTTGTGTGAAAAGGAAATATATTTAAGAATGATTTAAATAAACCAAATGGCTTTAACTTCAATCATAATTTAAGAATGATTTAAATAAACCAAATAGGTTTTCAACATTTGCAATAATTTCATTCTTTGTATGAAAAAATACAAAAACAAACAAAAAAAAACATTACCGAACCCCTTCATCAGTGACGAACTAAAGGAAACTACATAAGTGCATGGAGTACAGAAGAAAATAAGCCTTATTACAAGTCTGGTCATTGGAGTGAAGTTCAAGTGTAAAGCAGAACAAAAGAAAAATGTGTGTGTGTATGTGTGTCAAATCAGGACATAAATAAGCATCACTGCGCTGAGTTCAGAGTCTCCCTGGTGAAGATGACTTTCCTTCATCTGCCTGACAACTGATACAAAAGAGGGAAAGGCGGAACAGAAGAAAGCCGAAGGAAATAAAGAAGTCAGAAGAAAGACATAAGAGGGAAGGAAAAGGGAAGAGGATTTTCAGTCGGAATCATTAATGCTGTACAGAAGCGAAACTCCCTTTGAACATGGAGGAATTTGTAACTGCTGCGTTGCTCAGACATCCTGATGCTGGCTGATAGATGGAGGCTGCGCACTAATTCTTCAAATGTGTTGGATCAATAAAAATGACCTTCAGTCACACTTTTTATACGGACTCCCTCAAAGCACTCCGAGTAGAGATGTCATTTACTTTCCCCAGTGTCTAACGACAGACATCACAAAGTGTCAAGGGTTCAAATATCCTGTATGTTTGTGATTATTTACACAGCAATAAAACAGCTTTAAAAAAGTTGCCTATTCTGGAGCTCTCCTTTGATATCTCTCTTAAGTAGTCATTATATTAATCATTGAGCTGCTGCCATCACTTAGTGGACAGTGAAGGATGTTGAGGTTACACTTTTTAGAACACTCTAATTAGAGTTTAGTGGAAGTGGGAAGATAAAAGTCTCAGGATTCACGAGGTCCTGGCTAAGTTCAGTGGATTGGAATGGAGCCCGAACAGAAATGCAGAAGAACATTCTTCTCATATAAAATAAGTCAAATAAAAGTTCATTTTTGTTGCATCTTTCATGAAGATCTCAGAAATAATCTGATTGGAAACTTGGTTTGACATTTGACTGTTGCTAATTATTATTACCGAAATTATCTACAAATTACCTTAGATTTCAGATGGAATCAATCACCTAACAGATCATGGTAGGTTTCTATTTCATAAGCAGATATATTGGGCCGAGGCTAATTATCCTCCCTGCTTGTTCCAACTCTTCCTCAGGCTTCACTTCTCCAAACCAGGATCGGAATTCCTATATCTTTTTTCCATGAGCTCCATATATCATATCCCTTACAGTGAGGCTACAAACAGTCCATTTCTCAGAGGACAGACTGGAGTGGATGACTCATTATTGCAGTTAAATGTCTCCAAATATCCATGACACACTCATGTGGTGCGACACAATAGTTGAGACTAACTGCTCTAAACCGAAGGAGCATGTTTCCCTAAACCTTAAAATGTCTTAAGTTCCTAAGTGATTGTTCTCTTCTCTCACTTTGTCTCCATCTCGTCCCATAAACAGGAGGAAGGGTCCTGCAGGGCCAAGGTAAACTTCCACCAAGTCTCCAATACAGAGATAGCAACAGAGCACAACACGTTAAATTGTTATTCAGCACATGGGCACAG